CAAAGTGTCACTAACAGTCATCAGACCTAACCAAAATCCATCTACAATGCTTAAGGATCAAGAATGTACAAAAATGGTGTGCAATCATGGCATATGCAGAGAGAATTTTGGACAAGTGAGTTACCTAACGGAATAGCTCCGTTGGACCTTGAATTCTTGACAAAGCTTGATGAAAACAATCCAGAATCGTTCCTTGATCTTCAATGGAGCTTTTGATGTGCTTAATTTGGCTTGAAACTTGATGAGTCAGAGAATTCAGTTTTAGCTTCTTCTTGAACTTTTTGCAACTGTGTTCTTGATCAAAATGCCTCCAAAAGCCAATTTGAAAGTTTGTACACGATGCTGAGAATATATGTGATGGATCTAGATGCTAAGAAAGCCCAACCCAAGCCCATAGAAGTCCAATTGAAATCCAAAATTTCTTGGCTTGAAGCTTCATTACACGCATGAAAACAAAGCTGAAATGGCTTAGCTTTTGGTTCAGGTAACTTGCATACACTTCATTCTGATCCAATGGCTAAGAATTGTTCCTTGTTTTGATCTCATGGTGTGATTTGATTATGTTACTTTCACTTGAAACAAGCATGAAATTGGCCATGAAAATGATCTCAATGTGCAATTCTGAAATTGGCATTATGCTTAGAATGTTTTGTGGACTCAAAAAATGCACCAACTTGGTAAAAATTGGTTCAAAATGAATTTATTTGATTTTATGGCTTTTAATGCTTTTTTCATGGAAATTCCTTCACCAATCCTTAAATCCAAGCCAATCCAATGATAAGTTGATGGTTGATGATGAAGTTGACCCCATTTAGAGAAACTTTCATGTTGGAAAAAGTTTCATTTGAGGTGTGCAAAGTTGTGAAATTGACCTATAACAAAAAGGACCTATAATCAAAGTTTCCCAAAATACCCCTGTCTTGCAAGCTTCATATCTTGAGCTCTACAGATCAGATGAAATACTTCTAGTAATTTTTGGAAAGCTAAGATCATAAGGAAAAACTTTCATGTTTGGGTCAAAGTGAGGAGAAACATCTTTCTAGGTCAAAAATGTCTTGGAAGTTGGTTGACTTTTGTTGACCAAAATCACATTCATCTGAGGACCCCTAACTTGTCAGCATCATAACTTGAGTTCTAGAAACCCAATGAATGAGTTATAGTACTCAAAAGAAATCTAGAAACATGCTCTACAAGTTTCATGTTGGGGTCAAGATGAGAAGAGACTTGTATCTTGAGGTATGTGGTCTTGAAGTTAGGCACTAAACAGGGGATTTTACACTAACAAGCTTAGAAACCCTAGCTTAGCAACTTCTCACACACTTGATTATTGATGAATTTACCTTGAAATGGTATATGACATGTCTCAACACAACATTACATGATCATAAATACTTGGAATTGAGTCTTAATCTCCTTCAAATTCACTGTTGACTTAAGGCTGACGAGATGAAAACCCTAACTGCACCACCTTTGACTGTGGCTTCTTACACTTGATATAATGACTTGCACAAGCTCATTAATGACCCTCAAGACATCCCATGAGCTTATGTAACACTCTCCACCCATAATCATGGACTTAATATCATCTTATAATCTTCACATGGCCTCCAAGACAAGAGGTGAACCTCATTCATTCATCTGCACTTTGCGTTTCTTCTGATGATGATAAACACTTGATAGCTTGAATACAACCTCTTGCTAGGCTTAGAACCTTGGTAATCTCCTCTTTCTAGGAACACCTCTCTCAATCCCCTGTACATGGACAATGGTATGCAAATGTTGATGTTATATGAATGCAATGAAACATAAACCCAGTAAAGAAAAGGTTGGGCAAATTTTGGGGTGCAACACTGTGCAAGCAATTCTTCGCACTGCGAGCCATCTCGCTACAAGTTTGCACAACGAGTTTCAGTTACTTTTCTCTCTGAGTGAATAATACCCAGTCTCCCAAGGGTCTTCGCTGGTAAGTTCGCTGTGCAAAGTTGGTGATGATTTTTCTAGGGAAGTTTGCTAGGAGCTTCGCACAACGAACTTCTTGATGATTTTCTGCTGTCTTGGTTTCCTTGCCCAATTTCTTGTGTCTTAATCTTCTTTTGTTTTGTACCTAATTCCTGCACAATAACACACAAATCAAAGCAACCAAGGCATTTTCCAACAATGAAGTATATAATCTAAAACATGAGTGATTCTAATCACTTTCACCTACAAAATGAAAGATGCCAACATTTGATAGATCAAATAAGCAAAGTTTGACATCTAACATCGACCCAGATGGAGTCGGTAGACTGGGTCAACTAAAACCCATGCAAGGAGACAACTATTTGAGCGGGAAATGGATTTGAAATCCAAGAACGTGGGAAGTTACAAAAGTGGTGGGTGAACACGTGACGTCACCAGATTCAACATGGCAGTTATTTATTTCCCTATTTAAAGTAATGCATGTTTTCATTTAAAGAGGCACATTTTTATAATATTGTAAGAAAAATACTCTGAGTACCAAAGCGTTACGAGAAAAGAGTTTTCACTCCTACAAAATGTATGATTGCGTCCATATTTCTCTTTTTACAAGCAAGTTACGTCATTAATTCCTAAAGTGTTTTGCCTTATTATATTTTTCTTACTCATTTGCATAAGTTATTTCTCACTCCTTTGTACACGTATTCACCTATTTCAGTCTTTGCTAAAAAAATTCCCAGCCTATTTCAAACGGACATCATTCCACCACTTTTCCATACATCCCAAAACTAGTGTTCTGGGACTCGTTTGACCGGTCCCGCAAGTAAACCTGTGTTGGGAGGTCGAGGTTGTTTGCGCGAAAACTGCGTGCGAACAACAGGACTCCTAAATAACCCTAAAACACCATCGTACATGGCTTCTCGTCGTCGTGGGCAAGCCCTAACCACCATATCGTGTTATAAACCTATTAAGGCCTCTGAGTTTCTCTTCCCTGGCAGGGGAAACATACATACTTGTACTTTTTTACAAGTATAAGAGGGTAGTGCTAGGGTTCTTTAGGATTTGGTAGAGTTGGGTGCCTATTAAAGTTTTGTCGTTCTCTTGGCGGTTGATTTAAAATAGACTGTTGACTAGCTAGAATCTTCTGAGGCGTGAAATTGCGTCGAGATCTAGTAATGGGAACATGATGTATGTGCTAAGCAGGTGGAATCAACCGTTTTTATTTTGTGTGAGTTTGCTTCTGCCACCTGGTATAGATTTTATGTGGGTATGGTGTTCGGGGTCTATGGCACACTCGATTCTAGGGGTTTTTGAGTTGTTATAGGAATTTACTCATGATAAGTAGACATCTTCAAACTTGATCTCGATATGATATTTTGTGGTTTGGACTATTTGGAAAAAGTGAAATGAAGTTATTTTTTGTTGATAAAGCTCGATGGTTAATCACCAAATGCCTAAGATTATTAGTTTAGATTGAAAGTGATTTTATGTCCATGTTTTAGGTTTTGTCATTGCTTTGGTTGACTGGAAGTATGATCCCCTTAAGCAGTTGAGCAATTTGGTGTGCGCTAGGTGGCCGGCAGCCCTCCTTTTTCGTTTTGTGCATATGTTTCTGCTTCCTTCTTCCAACTTTCTCTCTCTAAAAATTTGTTTGTCTGAGAATTCAGAATAGTCTATACATGTTGTTTGGTGGACCTGCATTCCTCGGTTGTTCTTATTTTTTTGCTTTTCTATTTATTTTCCGTCCTAGTATATAATAAAGGTTGGTTTTGTTATTATTGTGCACTCCTCTTAACTACTTTGTAAATTTTGTAACTTTTATGTTCTTTTTAATACATAGTTCAAACTATACAGCATGTCCAAGAAATCAAGATTCTTGATGGGCTATTAGTTTTAAATATAAGAGACATTATTTGTACCTTTTATTTTATAGGAAGCTTTATTTCTAATAGATATCTATCATTTTATGTAACCAGTTTCATTTAGTAAGGGTCAAGAATACCTCTTTTAAAAAAGTTCATAGAAGTTGAGCATTACTGGTTCGAAACGTGCGCTCCAACATATTAAATATTAATTTAATATTTTATCATCTTAGTTATACCTACTAAATTAATATTTTTTTCTATATTTAAATATTTTTCTATATTTGTAAATTTTCCTTTTTTTATATAGTATTTGTAATTTAGTCTTTTATTTCTTATAGATAACACCAAAAGCAATATTTATGAATCAGTATGAAAAACAACACAAGCCTTTTATGTTTGTTATTTTGTTTGTGAAAAATATCATAAACTTATAATTTTTATTAATTCAAATAATATTTTACATTCATCTCTAAAAAAATTTAAACAACTTATTTCCAATTTATAATACAAACGCTCATTAAAATAAATATTTATAAATTAATAACAAAAGATAAAATAAATTTATATATATATATATATATATATATATATATATATATATATATATATATATATATATATATATATATATATATATATATATATATATATATATATATATATATATATATATATATATATATATATATATATATAAAGTTGTTTCTATTAACTATCTTAAATAATTCATAATTTTTAAAACTTTTTTATAAAAATATATCATAAACTGTTTTGATTAAATCTTATAAACAGTATCACAAAATTTATGTTAGTAAATAAACTCAAATAAATTCATCCAAACATGCCATAAATGTAGTATAACTCAAAGACATGAAAAATGATTACATACATATCTTAACATTGTAATTCATCCATTCATCTCAAAAAGGTGATGACAATAGACCAAACCAAATTCTGCACTCTTTAATTTCACAAGAATTCTATTATAACTGTTAAAGAATAAGTTATCACAGTAATCACTAACAACAAATTAATCATACATATGTTTGAGACATGAAATATACAAATCAGCAACAGGTAAAACTATTCTGTTTCGAATATCTTACCTATATATATAAAAAATCAAACTGATGTATATAAAAAAAAAGTATAGAACAGATAGTATTGCACTACCATGTGTTACAAAGTTGCATTGCATCGATTCTCTATAATCTTTTCAAGTTCTTGAGGCCTACAAGGAACCGCAATAGCACCCTCTTGTTCATAACCATACTCTTCCTTAGCTTCCTCCAACAGTTTCATGAAACGAGAATCTCTTAAATATTCCAACTCAAGAACAAATCTCTTTCTCTCTTCACCTTGCATTGCTACAACAACAAAATAACCTTCTGGCACTATCGTCGCTGTTTCTTCTTCATCATCACCAATGCTTCTAACTCTCACATAGTTACCTCTTCTTGTATACACTTTACTCTTTAAAACCTTTGATATCAACTGCTTTAGCTTCAACTTCTTTGTAACTTCCATGACTATAACTTCTTCTCCTGAGACAATGACAGTACTGAGTTTTTCTTTTTTGGAATATTTTCAGTTAGAAGAGTTTAATTAACAAGTGTTGATTGTAGAGTTAGATAGAGTGAGTGGATTTTATAAAAGTATTGGTCAAAGGAAAAACACACGAAGCTTCTTAGACTACTATAGTACTGTTCATGTCATATTCATACCGTGTTTTTGCTGCGACAAATCATTTAATGAAATTTAGACGCGTCGGTTTCTTTCCTAACCTTAAACGCGGGACTATGTTCGTAGCTAGATAACGTACTAATAGTACATTGTTATTTTATACCTAATTTGCTGTCTGCATCACTGTCATATATATATATATATATATATATATATATATATATATATATATATATATATATATATATATATATATATATATATATATATATATATATATATATATATATATATATATATATATATATATATATATATATATATATATATATATATATATATATATATATATATATATATATATATATATATATATATATATATATATATATATATATATATATATATATATATATATATATATATTGTTTTCCTAATACTTGAATGAATTTGGTTATCAATGTAGTAGATTTAAACATTGATTGGAAGCCAGTTTGGCATTCATCATTCATAACTGCGTATATATTCTGACATTTCAAGAGCTACTTTGCACATTTGGCATTTATATTTATAGTAGCAATATTCAATTATTATGGTTAGAGAGAGAAAAACATATCTTAAATTTTGGTTTAATACCATTTTTAGTTATGTATCTTAATTTTTAACATTTATTTTGGTTCTGTAATTTTAGAAAAAGTTCATATAAAATATCATGTTAATCTTAACTTACTACAAAATGTAACTAAAAAAAATGTCGTCTTAATTTTTTTTTTCAAAAAGACAAATTTAACGATTAATTTTTACTTTTTTGTTATCGGTAATAAAAAAAAAATAGTATGAAATATTTTAACAGTTAAGGATCAATATGTATCTGAATCATTTTTATAATAAGAGAGCAAAATGAATCTCATACGTGATCAAAGAGAATAATAAGCTTTACAATTTTTAAAAAATTTGTTGATATATATGAACATGTTGAAAAATGAAACTTATTTTGCCGACATTTACGGGATGTACGAACACCGTCAAGAAAACCTTTGATTGGTTGTATCAACAATGACAAGACATGGCATGTACGGATGTCCCCATTTGCTTGCAAATAAATTGCATGACTTTTGCATTTTGACATTGCATTTATTTAATTTTATTTTGACCAATTTTTTCGTACATGTTATATATATATATATATATATATATATATATATATATATATATATATATATATATATATATATATATATATATATATATATATATATATATATATATATATATATATATATATATATATATATATATATATATATATATATATATATAGACTAGTGTAATTCACAAAAATATCATTCACATATATAATAAAGATGAAAAATAAAAAACTCTTAAATTCACTCTAACATCCATAAAGATCTTTAGCGTCACAAACCTACCATTAACTCGCTAAGTCCTTTCACAAAAATAGAGGATTACCTTGCTTCAATCTCATCTCCCAGATGTTGGATTGCCATTACTAGAACGACAAGATTATAAAAAAAATGCTCTTATCCAGACTCATCGCAGAGTCAGGACCTTAGTCCAATGGATACTAACATTTAGTTAGTACTTACAATATTATAATATTAAAAAAATTACACCATACTCAAAAAATTACATACTCTATATTATTGTCTTCTACGCGGTCCCATGTTATGAAATCATAGAATAATAAACTCATTATCAATTTTACATAACACGTCTTTCTCAATATATGTCACAAGACAATTGGTCATCCATTCACCCCCTATTCAATTGCACAATCTAGTCTTCAAAATCTTCATAGAAGAAAAAGACCGCTTAATAGTTGTTATGGTGTTTACTAGTGTTTTTAGTGAACAACACGAGTTTTAAATCAATTGCAGGATCAAACTCGAAAAATCCTAAGGACACTTTGTGTTAAACATTTGAGAAAATGTATTAATGCTAAAAGGTTTTTTACTGTAAAGATTCAGAAAAGCAAATGAAGAAGTGCTTAAATGGACAAAACAAACAAATAAACTAATCATGATAAAACAATTGGGTAAAAAATGCTTGAATTAAGAGTGAGACGTAAGTTGATACATTTTTCACAAATTCTTTATCTTTGTGACTCATATGTGTGAATTCTAAAGAAAACATAATGAAATGTGAAACTTGATTACAAAATCGAAATCTACTTATATACTAGGTACATCAATAATGGTCAACATAAGAAAACATGTATTTTGCTACATATGCTTTTGTCTTTTGATGTGTTTTCAAATGTCTTTGGTTTTTGAACCGATTCAAACTGCTACTATGGTAAAAAAACATCTTTAAGCTTACTCTGTCCGTGGACTTAAAAATGTGCCAAGTCAAAAACACTTGTCGAATTTGTGAAAAGTCCACTTGGTGTAGCAAACATAACTTAGCTATATGCATTTAGAATTTATATACATCTCATATCTCATATTCATGTTGAAATGCTGAGCAAAAATCTCAGGATAACAAATGCCACCCCCCCCCCCCCACCCCCTAAAAAAATGTCACTTTCGATCATATTTGTAATATGGTAGAAAGGTAGCATTTTTTCTCTAGTAAACTCACAATATTATTCAAACCATTATGCACACGTTATCGTCATCATAACTACCTCTGCCTAGCCTTTAGGTCAAATCGACAACTTTAGTTCCATCACATCTTGAGTGAGATCTGGAATTTCATCATAATCCCAAGCGAAACATTCCTTGAATTCTTTAAGAAAGTCAATCATCTGGATCTTCAGACTTGGATCAATCTTGGAACTTATGTATATTGACATTTTGATTGTTCTATCTCCTAAGTCGACCTCCTCCAATGGGTCTTAGTGAAACATGAATCCATGATTAGGATCCAACCATATCGAGTAAATGACATCTTCTCACAGAGGATTCCTTTCCATTAGAAGTGAATGGTGCGATGGTTGCGACTTTCTTGTCAAAGTTGTGCTTATCTACATGATCCACTTTAGCGAGGAAGTAACTTTGATATGTTTCAAATGAAGTACAAGTTGTAATTTGAGTCATGATAGCTTCAAACATTTCATGGAAGCTTCTGTTTCATTTGATTCGAGTCATGGGATGTGTGATTCAAATCAAACTTCTAGAATCTCAATTTTTTTTCCAATTTAAAAAAGGTTTTGAGATTCTAATGATGCCATGACTTAAACCAATCTCAAATATGCTTCTTGAGCCAAAAACTAGACAATATGAATCATAACATATTTGTCGTACCTCAAAAAATTAGAACACGACACTCGCAAAGCGCAATCGCACGCTTGTGGGATGAACTTAACAGAGTCGCCACCGAACTTTATTGATTCTTAAAGAGGGAAAGGGAAAACATTGATAAAACTCTTAAAATAAAGACAATGATATTGGTTATTGCAACCAAATCAGGGTTCAGAGTCAATTACACAAAGGGAAAATATTAGCATCTCTCACATCCGTTGTATTTAATGGGAACCGTTTGGTTAGTTGTGCGCGCTAGTGTTAGCTTTGAAATGTTAGACTTTTCTAGTTATTAAAAGGAAAAGAGAATAGGACAAAAATATTTATTTATTTATTAGGGTGGCTAACAAGACTTTGAATCTCGCTCCTACATATCTCCGAGTGCAATAAAGAACTCAAGAATTATGTAGTTCTGGATAAAAATTATTCCTTTATTGGTCGATTTTAGCGAAAGCTATATTGTATCAATTGACAAATAACATTGTTTTACCTAAAATAGGTGAGGAACAGACGTTTGCATCACATTGAATGGATTTATAGGTATCAATATTCATGGGAAAATGTCATTTATCTCAACTCATTGGTTGTGGACGAAGCATTGCTTTGCGTCATCTCAAGATAAAATGTCTTTCATTTCTGAAAAGGGGTTTAGAATTTGTTCCAAGAGGCCAAAAGTATTGAATGTGTATTTTTGGGTTTGAAAGACGAGTATTTATGACTTGCAAGCTCTTACAACTTGGGTCTAATACTCAGGACTATGCATGGACCTTTCACCCAGGTAATATTTTTCTTTCAATTTTATTAAGAAAATGGTCTGAACATTTACAAGTGTTTTAAAGGGAAGACGAACGCTTATGGCTTGCAAGCTCTTACAACTTGGGCCTAAAATTCGGGACTACTACTGGACCTTTCACCCAGGTAATCTTTTTCTTCCAATTTTATTAAGAAAAATTCTTTAAAGTGGTGAAACGGTTAAAGGACAATGGTGAGTTCTTTTGAAAATTAAATTGACATAGCTCAAGGTTGGATCTTATTTAAAAGTTTTGTGCTAATTATGTGTCCATTTTTATCAATTTATTTAACAATTAAAGGTCTACAATACAAGATGAAATAGGTCATACAATCAAGCAATCACTCACAATTTTAAATAACAAAACAATGCAATAAATCATCCACTCAATCAAAGGTCAAACAAATTAGGTCAAACCTCAATCAAAATTATTTCTAAATTATTAAGACTTGAGAGAATTTTTTTTGTTTTTTTAAACAAAAAAACAATTTAGATGAGGCGACCCCTACTATTTTTTCTAACATAAAACTTTTATTTTGATTTTGATTTTAAATGAATAAAAAAACAAATATTATTTTTATTAAAGAAAATAACATAATTTTTATTTGATGAAGTAAATAAATAAAAAGACCTTTTAAAAAAAATCAAATGTAACTCTTTTTTGTTTAAAACAAGCAAAACAAAAAAATAAATAAAAAACAATGTGCCAGAGGGGTGTGCTGCTGGTAAGGGGTTAAGGCCCAACATAGTAACCAAGGAAGTGAAACCATAACCTAGAGGGCGTGTGTCAG